ATCTAATACTTCAACTATACCTTTTTGGATGTATTGTTTTCTTCTATATTTTTTCTTGAATAAAAGAAAACACATTGAAATATTTTTAAAATTAAAAATTTTTTTGAATTATTACATTTGCATTGAGCATATTCTTTGGCAGAAGGTATTCGATAAAAATTATAGTACCTGCATCTCACACAACAGTGATCATCATTCATCCAGTTGGATTTCAGTGATCTTCGCCATTTTGGCTTAACCTTTCGAATTCATTATTTTCACCAATGTACCATTGGTTCGAGGTTTCATCCATAGTTGAGTGATCAAAACTATGTGTGTAAGAAGTAAACACACAATTACATTTAAATTAATTTACCTATCTCTATATAGTTGTAAATGCAGTGAGTTATATTTAAAATTCAATAATAGCATTTGAAAGAGGATATTTCTTATTTAGAGGATTTTTTTAAAACTTGTATAAAAATATAAAAAATTCCTAATAGTCATATCCTGTAAGTTAAAATAAAATCAAATTTATAATTTCAACCCCAATATATTTTTCTTCATCCCCAATATATTTTCTTTTTAATATTTTGCTATTTATTTTATTTTTGTCACATTTGTTTAAGTATATTCAGCTTAAGCTTCATTTCAGTCTCTTGAGACCAGATAATGTTTACTGGGCGATGAACATAGAAATTTTATTTCTAAATAAACTTTATTAAATATGCGGTCTTTTAAAAAGGACAACAGACAAGTGTGCTGTGAACATATTCAAAATAAAATCCGTTTAAGAATAATTGTGCCATTTGATTTTTGTAGAATTTAGTAAAATTATATGCGATTATGTATAAATTTTTTTTTTTATGTATAAATTTTATTCAAAAAACTTAGTTATTTTCTGTTAAATAAACTGCAATAATACATAAATTATACATCTATATAACATATCACATAGTACTTCGTGTTTAGCTTTATATTGTCTTCATTGAAATGTTTTGTTTTTTGATTTGTTCACGTATTCACTGGATGCAATTCTATCAAAATTTATCTGCTTAATAGACTCTCGCAAAACTCTCGCTTTCTTTTATATTTCATATGTTTATGACAGTAGAAATTTGTACGATTCTTTTAATAATACCTATAATAAGATTATTCTGTTAATTGATATCCGAGTAAATAGAATAAATAAATAATAGACGTTTTCAGTGGCTCGCAAGTATAGCAAAAAACAACACTATTTTCTCTATTTAGACCAGTAGCTGTTAAAGGCCAAACACATCGGCCAGTAAAAAGAAAGTGTTACCAACGCAATAAGCGAACTAATGTGAACCTGCATTGGCACTTCCAACAAATATTGCAATCATATGTCAAAAATTATATGTAAATAAAAATTCAAACAAAATTCAAAAATTTCATAAGTTTAAAAATTAAAGAAAAAGAAAAATTTGTGTTTTACTTTAAAATTTTCAACATTTTTAGTATTCCATATAATTTTGTATTCATTTTAGTTTTTAATATATATTAATTATTTATTTTTATACAAAATGTAATTTGAAAATGTAACAGTGATGCCAGTGTCTCGCTTAGCCAGCATGCATATTTTGCCACACTTGCGAGCCACCGAAGAAGACATAATGTTAGTTATGTTGTTCTCATCGTTGTGCTGTTTTTGGTGTACTTTTAAATAATTCTTTTTTTTGGGTAACAAAATGCAAATAATAATTTAAAGTTGAGTAAAACTTTCAATCTTTCAAATTAACATTGCTTTGTTCTTCACTTCACGTTTACCTTTAATTTTTTTCCGCTCTAAAATCACTTTCACATCTCTTGTGAACGCGTGCACAGTCGATTAAAAGTCAATTTCAGTGGCCAAAATGAAAGTTGCAGATCATTAATTTTTAAAATGTTGATAAAACATTTTTACAATTCCTTCAAATATAACCAATTTAAAAATTTTTATAAAAATATTTATTATTGAAAAATTCAACGAAGTGGAAAGTTGAGTATTCCCTGCTTTTAAAAAAATTGATTTTTTTATTTTTAAGCAATTTTTATACTTAATATATAATAACAACTAAGAATTAATTTTTTATTTTTTGTTCATAAATAAGTATGAACAAGAGATAAAAAATGAATTCTTAATTGTTTATGGAGAAATTGTTTAAATAATTTAGTATTTAGTGTTTCAAAGTTTTAATAGAATAGATCTTTTAATGAACTGGACGGGTCAACCAAGAAAATATATTCTCTTATTACTGAAAGTGTGTTTTACCTACCCTATTAGTTTTGTTAAAAACTTTTGGAGTATAGATCAATAAATCACACTTTTGTGAAGACGTTTAGATTCCTCGTGGGTATACAATGCTTCTAAAAATGGACACAACTATTTGAAATATAAGGGGATCGTTTTTTAATATCGTAATTAAAACAAAATTCTAGAAAAACATAATTATAATCACAATTTCGTAATTATTAATATATATTATAATACATTAATATATATATATATATATATTATTATAAATTTCATATAAAATATTATACATCATTGATAAAAAATTGAATAACAGGATGAAAGCAGCCAAGTATATATTTGTTTAAAAGGATTAGGTTAGTATTTTGACAGTTAAGTGAATTTTTCAATATTTCATACATACAATCATACATACTGAAAAGTTCGTTAAATTTTGGCAGATACTAATGCAAATAAATATCCCGTCTACTGAACCAAAAATAAAAAGTACTACCCAATTTAAAAGCTTTGAAGTTCAAAATATCTTCTATTCATAAAAAAATTAAAATTAGGGACTACGTCCTTTAAATAGATTATGATCATATTTTGAATGATCAAGATCAGAAAGAGGTGATTTAAAAAACAAATCGTAGAGGAAAAAGCATGTTGAAGTGGTGTAATGGAAGCCCAACTTCAATTTTAACAAGGTAAAAGCAACTTAAATGATGGAACTACTGGTCAGAGTGCTGCAGGTCCAAATATTGCGAAAAATATTACAGAAATTTATGTTCCATGGAAATAAAATTATTTAATTACCTATACTTTCGTAAAGACAACTTTCGTGGAGAAATATGAAAGAAGAGATAAGGTTTTTAGCATTTTAAAAAACTTGACAAGAATAGCATGAAGAATGACAAAGTAATACATAAATCCTTATTATTTATGTAATATTTTGTTACCTTCTTCAGACCCATTAATATATTATAATCACTTTTAGCGAATTAAGAGTTACGAAGACTTACCTAAAGAAGTGAAAAAACTCTTTAAAACAACTCTATTCCTGTAGTAACAGCTTTATAATGATGATTATTATTCTGTGAAAATACATATAGAGTATAGACTCTAAGATAAAAAAAAATAATTGCATTTTTTTAATATTATTTATTCGCCTTAAAATAATAAGAATGCACATTGTAAGTAAAATGTTTTTTCTTTTATACGCTATTAGATTATATGGAGAAGACGCAATTCTTTTTTAAGATTTAAATTGCTAAAATTTATCTGAGGAAATTTGGTGAAATAATAGGGGTATTCAGGATGTCTGTGCATCGTTGAGTGTGTATCATTGCAAACTCAAATAATCGTGAACACACTTTGTGCATATTAGTCTTGAAAATATTTAGAACAGCTGATTTTTGTTTACGTATTTATTGCTTGTAAAATATAACTCAGATTCATTATGAATAATTTCAACAAATGCCAAGAACAAGCATAAGACATTGACATTGTCCGACATTATTGGACGTAAAATAAATAAAAATCAAACAATTACACAAAATCATAAAATTACAATATAACAAAATCAAAACAAACCTAACAGTTTCGCTGAAGTATTGCCCAGCGAACAGTAAAAAAAGTAGTATCATTCACAATAGAGTCTTGAAAATCAAATATGAAATAGGTAATTGGTGTTGAAAATATGGTCTTGAATATTGTCTTGCAAATCAAGTGCAGAATTATAAAAAAAAAGGAATTGTTTTTGTTTTTTTGATTTAGAACCACTGTGTGCCGTTGTTTTGCAGTTTTGTGCACAACATTCTTCTACACGTGCATGCTTCGTTTCCGGTCGCACAAATGTTTTTCTCGGTTACAGTTTCATCTTTGTTTAGCTTTCATACAGTTTAGACGGAAAAAAATGAATCAAAGAAACTGCGTACAATTTTATTGCTCAAACGTCTAAGAAGGCGGTACAGGCTATTTAGATCCATGATGCATATAAACAAAGAGTGGGATGTAAGTAGATCAGTCAATTGGTTGTTTGCCAATTTAAAAAATATCTTCATTCAATGAATTAAACAATGAACTTAAAAGGTGTCTACAGCGGAAAACAAATATGAGCGCATATTTAATTTACTGAGATGTTGTACAGTGTATTTATTATAATTAATTTCTAATTATTATTATATTGAGAATATAAACATCTATTTTTGACATAAAGCTGAATTTTTACATGTACAATGAGTGGATAAAGGCGTGTAAAAAATTATTTTAAATATAAAAAAATAATTTTTGCAAGGGGATGGGTATTGCAGTATATAAAATATTAGAAAACTTCTGGACCTTAGTAATGAAATATCGTACCCTAAATTTATTTACTTTAACTGTCATAGTTCTTGATATATTGTAAAAAATCTAAAAGTACGCTATTCCTAGAAGTTCCAATACTAGTTTTTGGAACACTTTATTTCAATATATCTAGTGGTTCAAAAAATATTGAATTTTATTTGGTTAATTTTGATTCTGACACATTGTGCACCGAGCCGCTGTGTGGATTTTTTTTCCTCATGGAATAATGTTCTTAAAAGAATCATCAATATCGACCAAATGATTCCTGCGTGAAACAGTTTAAACAGAGAAATTAATGTACAAAATTTCATTTCATATATTTCACAATATGGAATATTTTATAGAAGTCAGCTAATATTAATAAGTATAAACATATATGAATTATAAATTATTTTATAAATACGTATTTATTAATAACAAATTATGTTTTGAATCGTACCTGTAAATAAGTTTTCGGCGAACACTGCGCTTAAAAAACCCGGAACATCCATTGCACGCTAGAATCCCGTAATGTTTACCCGAACTTATGTCCCCACATACAACACATATAAGCCCAACACCAGAATTTTTTGAACGAGAAACCATAACATTAACATTTTCTTCAGAAATGAGACTTATAGATGACTGATGACTCCAATTTGAAAGTCTGTCAGTTGAGCAGATACTTTTCGTAGAGGCAAAACCATTGATATTTTCTGAAAGAATTAATATAATAAAATTGAATAAAGAGCTTTTCAAAAACTGATTTCATTTTAATTTGAATTTATCTCATTAAACTTATGTACTCGTATCGAAGCCCCTGATGGTATTTAAACCACATTTGAATTGAATATATTGTGAGCTTAACGTGTTGACATTCAAACGGTATTATCCAAATTTATTCCTACATTAAATTAGGGTGCCATTAATGCATCACATAAATCTGTGCACAAATTTTTCTCTGGGGACAATTACTTTACCATCACACCCTAATTCAATTATAAAAACTTTCGATGTACTTAACCCCCGTCACACCAGCAGCCACATTAGTGATAGTCAATACATTTGCAATTATAATAACACCAAGTGTGGCTTATATAGAAGGGATTAGAGTCATATGTTTAAATTTTGGCTGCAATTTAATGATTGCTACAATACATTTTTTTACTACTTATTTTTAAATTGAATTAATTTCTATTTTTTCAAAAAAAAAATACCAGTTGTTATATTCCAGCTGATACAAACCTTGCATAATGCTTGACTTGCATAGTGCATGCCCTTCTTACTTCAGTATCATTTATATACCTACATATGCATAATAAGTTTGAAGTTCATATTGTACCAAAAGCAGAAAGTGTAAGGATTTGCGGACAAGGTTCTTTGGAAAAGAAGCTACAATGGTTGTATCATGGTCTTAGCTGCATTTAAATATCAATCATTTATAGCAGTAACAACATTAACGTTTTATTATTGCTTACGGATTTATCAAATTCTTTAAAATGAATTGACTTTTTAGTGAAATCATCAACATCAACAAAAACTCCTATGTATATTAAAATACCAAAAATTCAACAAATTTAATTTTTAAATTTTAATTTTGTTTAGTTGGTATTAAATATTTCACTAAAATTAAGATATTAAACAAATTTTTTAAACAATTTTTTTTATTTTGTATTTTTATTGCTGAAACTTTTTATTCCTATCCATAGTTATCCACATTATAGTTATCTAGTCGTGAATCCCAGACAAATTCATTAATAGAATTAAAGGATTTCTTAAAGGATTATTGTGTTATCATCTTGATTTTTTTATTGTCAAAGAATTAAATCGTTTAATTTTTTTTACTCGCCAATATCCGATTACATTCTATAAGAATGTCAGGTAAGTTATTTTAGCTAAATAGAATCGTGGATAAGAAACTTAACCATAGTTGCAGGGTGTATATGTTGATTTCCTATAATACTGCGGATACAGATAAAGATGCATCTGATGTAAAGATAATTCGACAGAATACATCTATCTTCCGATTTATACGGTATGGGATTTGAAAAAAAATTGTATTTTTCAATTTTATTGAAATTATAATGACATATTAAAAAAATTATGTACAAAATTATATCCTCATAGAAAATTATTATGAAATTTATGTAAATTTTTTGTGCGAAACAGAAGTTAGTAGTTGTTTTAACTCATAAATAAATAATAAAAATTACTAATTATTTATATGAAAATTAAAGTATTTAATCAATATATACACAATTAATATTTGTTTATGTGGCATACATTAGCTGCGTTTCAGGAAACAATGATCTGGATCATCTTTGCTGAAACGATATGGATTACATATAAAAGTAATGTGCAACGCATGAATTATGTCAGTTGGGTTTGTGTACTAATTTTTTTTTTGATTTGTGTGAATTATTTAAGCGCTAAAAAAATAAGTGAGAAAATTTTGAATATAAAAAATCTAAAACATAGAAAAAACATAAAATCTGTTGAAATGTCTGAAATATTATATCTAAGTTTTTATTTAGTATTCGCTTTAAATCTTAAATTTAATTCTATAGTAAATAAATAAAAATTGCAAACTTTATAACAATCATCGAGCAAAACTGACTCTTCCATTCCCTTTTTAAACACTAGTGTATTAAGCTGTATAAACTGTATAAATAATTGGAGGGAATAGGTCTGTTCCCCCAGCTACTTGTCGTAACTTTGAGTAACTCTGTGTATACACAAGTGCGTTCCACCATCAAATTTTCGAGTAAATAAGAGCATCTGAGAGAGCGTAACATCCCTGTCGAAATTTGAAAATGCTACACAGACTTTACTCCTACATTTTATTTCAATTAAAATTTGTGTGATATGTGATTCAGCTGTTTTAAATTCAAATTTTTGTATTGTTTATTTACGCGGCATTGTAAGAGGTTCGATTTGAAATAGAAAATAACTTGGATTGAAGTGTTTATATGTATATTGCTTATATTTCAATTTTTTATTTCATTAATATTAAAAAAAAGAACTTTATTCTAACTTGAACTAGCCTTAAAATAACATGTAAATAAATATTAAATTCTAATTAACATATCCCTAAGACGGTAATATTTTGAAATTATGTTTTAACTTCCATTTCTACTATTTTGTTTTTCGATAAACAGCTGTTCTAACTAGACTTTACACAAAGCTATTCTATGAAAATCTATGTAAAGAGCGAAATTTGCCATTTTATTTGTGTTACGCTCTCAGTTTGTACTTTACTTGTGTTTTACTTGAGTTTTACTACGAGTAGCTCGTGAAAGAGACCTATTGCCGATAAAAACTAACATTTCCTTGTTCTTTTTCTTGCTCTTTTTAATACGTTTTACCGGTTTTTGGCGTGAGAGAAGGTAAAATCAGAAAAAATTGGTACAAACTCTACATACGGGACTACACTTTTAAATTCGTGGAGAAGCTGACTTAAAATCTGAAAGTGAACCGATGTGTAGCGAACGTGACTTCATGATTCCTGATGCAGAGAATTCATAGACAACGGAATTACACTCACAATTATAATATATGTATATTATTAAATGAAATTTATTAAATATAATATGTGAGCTTTTATTTCTTTCTATGCCATTTCACTAGAATTATGCACTGTATGGCATGACCAGCAAATATATAATATAGATATATATAAGTTAATTATTAGTTAAAGTATCATTCATACATATAAACATAACATACTTATGTCTCTCCACGATTAAAACCCAAGGTAGCAATAAATTTTCTTTTATAGCCCCATCAGCTATGCATATAATAGTTTCAAACGGCAGTGAATTTGTTTATAATAATGTTAAAGTCTGATATAGACGACAATACTATTGTAGTTGTTGATCAATTTAAAACTCAAAAAATAATTTTCTAAAAATAAGGTAGCGATACTAACAACAAGAAAACTTCGGAGTAACAGAAAAGAAGAATACCTAGTAGCTTCAACAAAAGAAAATCCCTATAGAATTAGTATCCCTGCCAATAAAATTTATTCGAAAACATACTGCGAATACAAACAAACGGTGGTTAAAAGGAAAATTTCTAATAAGCTGCAAAATGGCAAATATACTTACACAGAAAATAAAGTTTTCCAATAAAAATAGGGATCAATAACCTCCTGTTTTCAATAGGCAAACTAACAAAAAATAATAATTTTTTTAAGAATAAAAGGCATAGAGTGAAAAAAAACCCTACAAAGAAATTTGCATCAAAAACGGTGATCTCAACTGAACTATATTTTTCCGAGGTAGTCCACAGGAACATTAATGTTAGATATAGAAAACATTTTTGGCCAAGTTTGGATAAAATACTAATTACGAAATTAAAAACCCAAGGTTCTTATCTCAACATAATCATCATGAGACGGTTATTTTAAATGTGACACAAAATTCAAGTGCTAAATACCTTTTAAATCTTTTACAAATACTAGTAATAACGTTCATAAAACAAATGGGAACTACATCCAATTTGCTGGCCAATTACGATAACAATATCGAATGCTAATGGCATGGTTCAGAACTGTTAAGAAGTTAAGCTGTATGCATCAGGATCAGTTAGAGGACGAACAGCAGTCGTTGTTAAACAAAATATTCAATATAATTTACAGAACTTATAAAGCCTGGAATGGGATGATGATGAAGCAAATTCTATATAAATAAATATACATATGTATGTAGACCTGCGTAGTCTGAGACCTTACTCCCATAATGTGAGAAAAACATTAGGTATAGTATAATTATTTATTGTCATTGTGAGAATATCACGTTTGGTTTAAGTCTTTTTCTTAGTTGCTTATTCAAAGTATGCTCTGTATGTTATTTTACATTGTTTGTGTCAAAGGTAACATTGTCTAATCTCTTTTATCAGAATTTTTAGACCTTCACAGTGTCACTTCAAATGTGCCTATTGAAAGCATTATACCATCAGCACATACCGTCAGTGACACAACTCCTATATATCAGAACAAACGTTGAAACATATAAAAACACAAAACCCACAGACTCGTAACACAAAATATGACCCCCAGATAAGCTAACTACGACATAGATAACCGCCAAGTGAGTCAAAGCGCAACAGCGAAAAAATTAAAATGAATTAATAATCTTGCTATTGCAGTACAGAGGGCAAAGACATTATCTTACCCATGTAATAAGCAAAAACTAACACGATGGGTTTGGTGTAGTGCTTCTACTCGGGTGCTTGGGATGCATAAGTAAACACAACACGGTTAAATATGGATTTATATTCAGCTTATGTAGGAGACTCAGCTAAGCTTAGACAACATTTTCTCTCTTACATCTTTACATAGATTCTATAAAGGCTCCCGCACTGACAATCAATATTACCGCAAAAAAATCGATCGGTCATCAAATTTCAAATAAAAAAGCTGAATCATTAAAAATGTCTCTGATTTCAACAGGACTTATAAGACATATGAAATGTAAGCAAGACTTTGAAATCCAACAAAGGTTTACATCAGAGAACTGCCAGAAGCATTCAACTTCTAAAAGAATTTGCCGACCCTTGGCTTCATATCGAACCAAAAGTATAAGCTCAAGGGGAAGAAGCAAATCGAAATAGAATTTTGACTTTTCGAGAAGTGCTGGAATCAAACTATGCGACTGGCATCCAAATGAGTTCTACGGAAACTATTTATAACAATTGTAAGTATTAAATATATGTTATGTGTTATGTTCACATTGATGACATTTATTGTTTTGGTACCCAATACTTCTATTGCTGTTATGGCATTGTAATGCTTATTAGAAGCATCATAATTTTTTATACCAAATTAAGTAGGTAATGACCGTAATAGTTATTACTTCGATACAAAAACGGTCAACCAATATATGGATTACTCATATTTTATAATGAAACTCGATTACTAACCTAAAATAAAAGCCAATTTTGTCTTATATAACATGTAAACATATTCTTTATGAGTAATGAAAACTACAAAGTGTATAAAGAACTGAACGACAATAATAATATAATTATATTTTAAATACTTATTTTTATTCAGAAAATTGATTCAGGGTTCAAAATTGTCTAAACTGTCTAAATGTTCATATTTTAGCAAACTACGTTCTCAATGCTAACAACTACGATATACCCACTATGTAATTACTCATATTTTCTGATAAATACAAACTTAACATATCTTCGTTTGCTGACGCAATTCGATTTTCAAAGAATTTTTTAAGTTATTGTCTCTATTTTTTATCTAGCAAAATCCATAATATAATCTCTTTACACACTTCATTTTAAATATTTTCACTTAAATTGGCATAGCGTAATATATTTTTGTAGAGGTAAACGAGATAGCATGTCAGCATGACCCATTGAAACCCCGGACACACTGGTAAAAATAATGCATATCATTACAATCGATTTACCAAAAGCGGTAGCATATCTTTTTTCATTTAAAAAATATATCTTAACAGCTAGTGGTCAATCCCAAAAATATACTTCTGAAGTTTCTACAATACAAAAACTATCGTTAAACCCTCTCGATGCAATTGCAAGTTCTTTCTTGAAGTTAGAGATAATGTTCTTCTTCTTCTTTATTTGCCAATTCGATTTCGAATATTGGTGATCATGTAACATAACATAATACTATATTGATTAATTGTAACATAATAATAATTATAACATAATAACATAACATAATACTATATTGTTTGATTAGTTTTTAATAAACACAATTACAAATTTTTAACTATTTCTGCGTATTGCTCTCTGCATCTCGCTATACCATATTTATAAGGCTGCTAACCTCTCGTATTTGAGTCCATTGACGAATGTTTCGCAGCCATGAAAATTGTTTTCTGCCAATACCGCGTTTTTCTTCGATTTTTCCTTGAATAATCATTTAGAGTAGCTCATATTTTGAATTTCGCATAATATGTCCCAGGTAAGCCGTTTTTCTTCTTTTTATAATTGTTAACAATTCGCGATCACACCTCATACTTCGTAACACTTCATTATTTGTAACATGATCTGTCCATGGAATTTTGAGAATTCTCCGATAAATCCATAACTCAAATGCTTCGAGTTTGTTAATATCAACAATTTTCAAAGTCCAGGTTTCCATGGCGTATAGAAGTATAGACCAGACATAGCATTTTACAAAACGGATTTTAGTTTTAATATTGAGATCATGACTATTAAGCACTTTTTTGTATCTAAGAAAAGTATTTCGTGCTATTTCTATTCGGCATTTGATCTCTTTGGAACAATTCCAATTTTCATTTACCATACAAATCATCCAAGATATTTAAAATGCTGTACTCTTTCTACACCAATATTATTAACCATTAAATTTGTGTTGCTATACATATTCTTTCGCCTTACAATCATTTTGTTTTATTTATATTTATATACAGTGTTAACACTGTTTACTAGCTCTTGTAGGCCACTTAAATTGTCGGCAATAAGAGCGGTGTCGTCCACGTATCTGATGTTATTAATGAAAACGCCGTTTACCTTCACACCTTGTCGAATATCGCTAATGGATTCTTCAAATATTTTTTCTGAATACACATTGAATAACAGTGGCGACAATATGCAACCCTGTCTAACTCCTCTTGAAATGGATATCCCTTCTGTTATATCACCATCGATGTTTACATGCGCAGTTTGTTGCCAGTGCAAATTTTTAATGCATCGGATTTCCTTGTCATCAATATCAATGTTTTGAAGAATTACTATAAGTTTATCATGTTTCACGTTGTCGAACGCTTTCTCGTAATCGATAAAACAGAGAAAAACGTCTTTGTGAACGTCTTTACAGTTTTGAACTAAAACTTGAATACATAATAGTGCTTCCCGAGTTCCAAGTCCTTCCTTAAAACCAAATTGTGATTTCCCCATCACTTCTTCGCATTTTTTGTATATTCTGCCGTGTATAATTTTTAGAAAAATTTTTAGAGCATGTGACATAAGGCTGATAAGTCTGTATTCACTTCATTTTTTTGCAATTATTCTTCTGGAATCTGATGGATGGAATCTCGTCTGGGACATTTGCCTTATTATTTTTCATCGATTGTATAGCTTTCTTGACTTCGTCTTTAGTTATGTACATTCCAGTTGGCATACTTGTAAAATAAATATCATTATTTAGTCTACTGCTATCAGAAAAAACGTTTTCAATATATGTTTTCCAAATTCTTTTCTTTTCATTTATGTCAAAAACTATTTCATTGTCATCACTAATGAGAGATGAAGGAGAGTTTTTTCGATAAATTCCTGCAGTCTGTTTCAGTTTTTTGTGTAGATTGAAGTCATCATGTAGTGATTACAATCGTTCAATTTCTTGGCATTCATTATTTAACCAAACTGTTTTTGCTGTACGGATCTTACTTCTGATGTCTCTGTTTAATTGCCAATATAGATCTTGTTGTGTATTTTTATACTGACGGCGTTCATTTATCAATTTCACTATATCTTCGGTCATCCAATGATTTTTTTTATTTCTTTCCTATATGATCCATGTGGTACCACAATGGGCCATTATTTGTGCTTAAGTGGGCTTTTTGGGATACAAGGCCGCCACTCCAACCCAACCCCAACCCTATATAATCCAAGAATTTCTTTCGATGAAGATGTAATCGTTGTCTAGAGTTGCTCCCATATATTATTTGGGTTCCTAGAATCAATACTACTAATGCTATGATTTATTTTATTTTTTAATGAACATTTTATGTCATCATTTCGTAGTTTTTCTAAGTTGAGTTTGAGGCTTGGTTTCTTTTTGCGATTTGATGCTAATCTTATGCAAATTTTCGCCATTAGAAGATTATGACCAGATTGTACATCTGCTTCCGGGTAAGTTGTAACTTTCTTAACTGAAGAGCAAAAATGATCATTAATTAGGATGAAGTCTATTTGATTTCTGATAATATTATCAGGAGTGTCAGATGGAGATTTCCACGTATATAGTCTACGAGGTGGTAGATTGAACATAGTATTTGAAATCTTTAATTTATATTCTTGACAGAATTGTATTAGTCGATCTCCTCTATCTTTTCTTTCACCTAGTCCATACTGGCCCACAACTCCATGAACTTCTCCTCTTCCAACCTTTGCATTAAAGTCTCCTTGAATAATGTTTATTTCATGTGATTTGGTCAGTCGCATAAGTTCATTTAATTCAGCATAAAAAGATTCTATTTCGTCGTCACTTTTGTCAGGAGTTGGTGCATATACTTGAATAATATTTATATTAAGTGGTTTGGCATTTATTTTCACCATCATAGCCCTTTTGGATTTGGGAATGAATCCAGTGACAAATTTTGCAATATCCTTTTTCATTAGTATGCCTACTCCATTACGATGATGTTTGTTTTGGTTGCCAGAGTAATAAACCTTTGTGTTTTGAGAAAAGAACTCTCCGCAGTCGGGCCACCATGTTTCGCTTACGCCGATTATATCAATACTATGTTTCTTCATTTCTAAAATCGTGTTAGCTAATTTTCCTGCTTCATACAAGCTTCTAGTATTTCATGTTCCAATGTTTAAAGTTTGTTTAGTTTTACCTCCGGGGATTCTTAGCACCCTTGTATTGCCGGAGACTGAGAGCCTTGATTGTGGTTGTACTTCCATTGTTACATGATATGCTGGGATATGTACTTCAGTGGTTTCCCGTTGCCTTCTGAAGAATTTATTGTTTTCCGTCAATGCACATTTATATAGCGAGCCAAATACATTTGTCCGCTTTCAGCTGTACCTCTGGTATCAGACGCTGACGATAATGTATTAGAAATAAATTGACCTGGGCGTCCATCACCATTAATAATATGGTAAAGCACCTCCCCTACACCGTACGAGTTCGCAACGCATGAAAAAATAAGCGGTTTTTGTGGATAGCGCGTTAAAACGAAAATGTTTGCAAAACCATTTTAATTCCTATTTATTTTTAGGAACAAGGGCTTCTCAGACTACGTTAACTTTATCTTTTAATAGCGATATTCTATTTTCATTTGCTACGTTTACTTCCAACACTCTATCCAACATTGTTTTAGATGTTTTTCACATTTTTCAATAGGTTCTTTAGCAATTCTAAGATCGTTCTAATAAACTTTACTCAAGTCGTTTAAAATTTTATTAATGTTAGGAAAATATTGGTGACCGTTTTTATCGCGTAGATCATTCTAGTGTAACAGTGTACCAAATATACATATTCACGGTTAAAAATTCTTGTGAAGTTTCCTTATCTTTGACTTAGAAGTATGCGTCATTTGTGAAATAATGGTATTCTTATTCTATTTCTTCTAATTCTTATTTCTATTCTTATTCTTATCCGTTACTAAAATTCGTTTAGCATTAACTAAAGATTTCATTACGTATAGGGATACTTTGCTTAATGGCCACCTCGTACAACGGTAAATACTTTGTATGGCCCAGCCATATTTCTGATCAAGAGAAATATAATTTATATAAACTATTTAAAATCTTATTTTACTTGTGTATAGTATTATATATATATGTATGTATGAATTGCATATCAAAAACGTTTAGCAATTTAGGAGCACTGAAATGATGTACGTTCTTGTTTTTTGCTATTGGATTTTTTGGTATCCACGAGTTATTATAAATTGTGAATACCCTATTTACTAAGTATGGAATTAAAAATGGGGAATCTCCGCTGTTTATTGATATTTCGTATTTAATCTGAATTGCAAACGAAACGATATCAGAATGTTTCCTCCAGCAAGTACAATTTCATTGAAAAACTACTTTTTAATATATTTAACTGAAAGTTATGTGCCGTTTAAATGCGCGATAAACAATTTCACAAGTTTGTTCGCCTATGGAATTGACAAGATATATTGTGAAACTGTGCGAAACAACGAAAAAAACATAAAAAATTAATTATGGCTTATTCAGCTGACAATGTGGCAGATGATTTTTCCTGGGAAAGCTAAAACTTTTCAAAACTGAAGACTGAAGTGAAATCAAGAAAGCGATAAACATACCTTGTTTAATGCAAGTAAAGGCGGGCTTAATAATCAATGTCAAGGTAAACCTATATCAGTCATGAAAGGAAATAAAAATGTCATTTGTTTAGAAATTTTGGAAGCAGTATAGCTGGAATGCGTTGTCAAAACCCTAAACCTAAAATTGATACCATTATAAATGAGCAGAGAGCTGCTTTCGATGAAGAACTACTGTTGCTAGATAAAGAGGAAGAGGTAACCACACCACATTTGCAAGCGTAGCTCAGACATTGCTAAAAAGTTAATGAAAGTCATTTGAACAGATTCTTAAAGCAACAAAATTCTCAAATATACCTATGAAAAGATCACATTACATACCTATTTAAACGATCATAAAGTTCTTAAAAAGATATGTAATAGGAAATAAAAACATATCACATCTAGTGCCTGAATTTAATTTTTTTTCGTTTTTTGAAATCGTAATACATATGTTTTTTTTGTTTTAGAAACTAATTTAATCATTTTCGATACATTTGTTTGAAATTATTAATTTCGTTTAACGGCATTTCATTTTACGGCCCACTGGAACGAGTTAAGGCTATTAATCGAAATATGCGTATATTTAATTCCACATTATGAGAGAGAGAGAGAGATATGGAGTTATTATAAGCACATATATCGAATGTATAAACATCAAAATTATAAAAAGACAAGTGACCGCCAAACTTTGTTTTTTTTTTCAAACTCTAAATATATAACATAATATATCTTAGTTTCATATACAAAGTTAATAAGCAGTGAAAAAAAGCATGTGATTATATATAAAGTTGAATTTGTAGTAAGTGAAACACTCAATAGTAAACTTGAATTGAGAAAAAAAGTGAAATGTAAGTCAATTCAAGGTTGTGCAGTTAGTTCCTATGGGAGTTCCTGATTATAGCCGTAAATCTGCCAAAAATAGGAACAGATTTTTTTAATAATTTTAACTTGGAAGTAGATCTGAAGAATAAAATGATTTACTACGGTATTACAAGTATTCAGATAAGGGGTACAAAGAACAATGCACACTATGCGTAAAAACCCAGTATACAACATTCTAAAAGACTACGAAGAAATACGAAACCAGCTACATTTAATAGAACAGAACGAAAAGTCTCACTGGTTCAGTATCAAAGTGCCACAAGGGGAGAACCAATTTTTGCAAAATCTCAGCGATTAAGCCCGAAAAATTATAAAATAGTATGGAGGAAGTTTGAATATAGTGACAGTTATTGGACAAACACATTGCATTTAGCAGCGAAATGAAATGGTATATGGCTATCAATGTGAAGACCACAGGAAATCTACAACTTAATAACACTGGTATCCAATCCGCCACATACACGACTTTACCCGTATATTACACAATTCAAAATTTTGTTCAACTATCGACCTGGAAAAACCATATAATCAAATTCCAATACCCGAAGCAAATAGCTCTAAGACAACCTCTTTCGGCTTACATGAATTCAACGTGATGATTTTTGGTGTATAAATTTCCACACAAAAGTTTCGAAGATTTGTGAACGATGTATTAGAATACCTAGATCATGTAGTAACGTATATTGACGACATATGCGTGGCATCAGCTGATCAATCTGGGAAAGTGCACGTTTTATAAAAAAGTGATTACCTTCCTGAAGCATGTACTTAACGGAAACGGAATTAGTCCCAAAGCCGTTAGAGTCAAAGCAATTAAAAAATTTAAAAAATCAACAGAAACACGAGAATTAAGAAGATTTTGCGCTTTGTTAAACTTTCACGGGCGTTTTCTTCTGCACACTGAAAAGAATCAGGGTATTCTGTATGCATAAATGAAAGGTATTACCATATTCAGGTCTGCGAGTGTGATTTTATCGCACAATGTTTCTACCAATAAAAGTATAAATAAAATTCAAGAACCACAAGTAAGAAAAGATCAAGTAAAGAGTAATGTCGAGATTTTCAAGAAAAATGGGAGCTGCAACATTTTTGTGTTTAAAATGAAAAGAAAAATACTATATCTAATATATGAATCCCATCAGATATGATGGTTGTAGAAAAATGTGATCTGGTTTTTGACGAAATCATTCGGAAGAATCAATCCAATATGGCTTGTGCAATATGCATTACATTTTGTTAAAAGCATCACGTAAACATATTTCTGCGTAAGCTTTGCTACGCTTAAATAAAGCCTTATTAAGAGTTTGACCCTATGAAACAAATTCATAATGAACCTTTTCACTATAATCGAAAAAAAGTGTTAACACGACATTAATTTTAAAATTAATTAAATAAAAATTAAATGCGATATTATCGGTTTTGAATCACCTTTTATATGCTATACAACCCGGCTGTTTCCGGATTGTATAGCTAGATTCTAATATCATATCGTTATGCATTTCATCATAATCCTAATAAGCACAAAGGATTATTTGGTAGACTGCAACTAAACGCTGCTTTTCCAAAAAATTTAGTGTTTTGGGAACCAAACAAGATTTCTCTTCTTTTAGGCAAAAAACATTTTTCAAAATGGTCTGGAGTTATAGTATCTTTGATTTGTTTGATGTGATGTTCATCAGTTTAAATTGTTTATACCATTTTTTTTATATAGCCTGGTTACTGGAGGTATTTCTACGCAAGCGAAATTTATTGAATTATTTGATCAATAAAATCAGAATTTACAAATCTTCGAATTAACCTCTTATTGTTCGCAAAACTTGTGCGGAATTGTAACGAATATAGATATTAGTATATCTACATTTGCTAGCTACGTTTTAGACAAAAAGGTTCGAAAGTCGTTGATTTTTTCGTATTAAGACAAATAGTTTAATGAAGCAATATTACTTAATAACAAAATTAATGCAAAAAATGCAATTCTATGTAATAACATATTATAAGTTAAAAACTAGCTTTTTTTAACATGTTACACATACTATAATATGTTACACGTAATAGGACAGAATACCATGAGTTAGGATGAATATTTAAAGATTAAACTTCGTTTGATTGGTAAGAAAGATAAATAAAGTATGGATTAATCATGTCCATTGAGGACACGACGAATATATAGTCAAAAGACAATTCATAACAAATAAAATAATACACAGAAACAAGATCAATGAAGATCAACTAACCTGGTACTGACATAAACACTACTGACTGTTTATGCTATTAAATGTTGTTATTTTAGTTCCTCACGTTTTAATAATTTAAACATAGTGAAATAATATCATATTGTATGTTGGAACTTATTAAGTTAAGACTTCTTAAGTATATGAAATCATAGAATTCCAATAAAATATTTTCGATATATTTTTTAGATATTTTTCATTAATGTTCAAAAATTTTATTTCTCACAATTCAATGACAATTCAAACTTTATCCATCAAAAATTCATTCCAATTATTTTCCAACATTTCGAAGTCTTTTTGTGAACAGTTTAACTCAAAGGAGATTCAAAACAAGTTTTAGTAATCAATATATATCCATAGT